CCTCCTCGTCCTCTCTTGACTCAAATCAGGCTTGGCCTATTGCTCTTCGAAAAGGTATTCGATCTACTCAAAATCCTTATCCTGTTTATAATTTTTTAAGTTACCATCGTCTGTCTCCTACATATTTCTCCTTTGTTTCCTCCCTTTCTAACATCAAAGTTCCTAATAATGTTCGTGAGGCACTTGATCACCCTGGATGTCGACAAGCCATGATTGATGAAATGCAGGCACTTGACAATAGTGGCACTTGGGAACTTGTACCTCTTCCTTCTGTTAAGAAACCCGTGGGATGTAGATGGGTATATGCTATTAAAGTTGGTCCTACTGGTGCCATTGATCATCTTAAAGCTCGTCTAGTCGCAAAGGGATATACTCAGGTTTATGGTCTAGACTATTGTGATACTTTTTCTCCTGTGGCCAAAATCAGTAGTGTTCGTCTATTTCTTGCCATGGCTGCCATTAGACAGTGGCCACTTCACCAATTGGATATTAAAAATGCCTTTCTTCATGGTGATCTGAAAGAGGAGATATACATGGAGCAACCTCTTGGATTTAGTTGTGTTGCTCAGGGGAGTCTAAGTTAGTTTGTAAATTACGTCGTTCACTCTACGACTTGAAACAATCACCTCGAGCTTGGTTTGGTAAATTTAGCCATGTTGTGAAACAATTCGGATTAAAACAATGTGAAGCAGATCATTCAGTGTTTTATGGGCATTCTACTCCTGATAAATGTGTTTATCTTATGGTTTATGTTGATGATATTGTGATTACAGGAAATGATGTTGCGAGAATTGCTTAATTAAAGGATCATTTGTTCAACCACTTTCAAACCAAAGACTTAGGTCATTTGAAATACTTCCTTGGTATTGAAGTGGCATAATCAAAAGAAGGAGTCATCATTTCACAAAGAAAATATGCCCTGGATATTTTGGAGGAAACAGGTCTGACAGATTGCAAGCCCATTGATAGTCCTATGGACTCAAATAAAAAGTTAATAAGAGACCATGGTGAACCTTTCTCAGATCCAGAAAGATACAGAAGGTTGGTTGGAAAACTAATCTATCTCACCATAACAAGACCTGATCTTTCTTATCCAGTGGGAGTTGTGAGCCAATTTATGCAAAATCCTCATATTGATCATTGGAATGTCGTGGTACACACTCTTAGATATGTAAAAGGGAATCCAAGTCATGGACTGTTGTATGAGAACAAGGGAAGTACTGAGTTAGAAGGATATTGTGATGCAAATTGGGCTGGTTGTCCGAATGATCGAAGATCTACCACATGATATTGTGTACTCCTTGGAGGGAACCTTGTATCATGGAAAAGCAAGAAACAAAGTGTTGTTGCTCGATCTAGTGCAAAAGCCGAATACCGATCTATGGCCATAGCTACATGTGAACTTATATGGATCAAACAACTCCTTCAAGAATTAAAATTCTGTGAAAATACGCCTATGAAGTTGTATTGTGATAACCAAGCAGCTCTTCACATTGCCTCCAATCCAGTGTTCCATGAGAGAACAAAACATATAGAAATTGATTGTCATTTCATCAGAGAGAAGTTGTTGTCCAAGGATCTCATTACAGAATTTGTCAATTCTAATGAACAATTTGCAGATATTTTTACTAAGTCTTTAAGAGGGCCTAGGATTCAGTTTATATGTTCCAAACTTGGTGCATATGATTTATATACTCCAGCTTGAGGGGGAGTGTTGAAATGTATTAAGTTTATGTTGTTGTTTTGTGAGTGTGTACCCAACTTAAGAAGTGGGTTATATTGTGTCATTGTATTCTGTCATGATATTATATATATATATATATATATATATATATATATATATATATAATACCTTAACCTTGTTAACCATTCTCTTTCACATATGAATAAAAATGTCTTAGTATTCTAACACTAAATTCTTTAAATTTTAATATATGAAGAAAATTGTAATTCTAAAACTGATTTTGGTTGCTAAGTGGAATTTTTAATACTTCTTTTTGTATAAAATGTATTATTTATTTTAAAATTTTCTTATTGAAATGCTTGCTATTGAAGTTAAACATAAATTATTTACAAGGATCGAAGAAAATATTTACAAAGATTAAGATAAAATAATAAGTAAAAATATTGAAATTTGATGTTAAGTAAAATTTGAAAGACAAACAAAAATTATAATTTTATTTTAGAGATTAAAAACAGGTTTAAACCCACGTTTTTTTTATTAGAACAGAAAGAATTAAATTACTAAAAATAAGATAGGTGAAACCAGTAATAAAAATTGTATATAAAAAATAGTTATAAAAAGAAAATTTCTTATTAGCGTTATAGAATAATAGATTAATAATTATATATAAAATAAAGTTTTATAATAAGAAAATATATTTTGCATTAGAAAACGCTTGCCTCTTTCTTCGAACCCTTCCCCAAATCCTAAGTGCTGAATCTCATCGGATTCCCGTTTCTCGTCGGACCGCCGTCGACTCCATCGCGATCTTCCTTTTCGCCGGACCTCCGTCGACTCCACCGCAGGTTTGGTTTGGTATGTATTATTTTTCCGTTTCGCTCAACTCCCATAACAGAAATATATTGCACTTTGGAAATCACTACTAATTTGCATCACAGAATAATGCTAAGACTGCCTTTGGATGAAAAACTGAAAAGTATGATTATGAATTTTAATATATAATTATATAATTATGAATTTGGATGAACAAATGAAAATTATTACTTGAAGATACTTTTGAATTGTCCCAATTTTAACTAAATATAAACTCTGTATTAGTAGCTTTTTCATTGTTGGTTTATCGCCAATATACAAATGCAAAAGAAAAAAAAACTTGAATGTGAATTGGAGGAGTAACTGTATAAGTTTCTTTGTCATATTCCTTAAATGTCAGTCTGTGACATTTGAAGAATCGAACACCGACCCTTCTATTATCACTTTGTTCCTCTTCCGTTGGTCATGTTCCAAATGTTCTGCTCAGTTGTCAAATCAATTAGGGCCATGTTTTTCTAGTTAGTTCTGATTATTAAAGCAAATTGCAAGAGTAACAAGAGCTTTTCTCAAGTAAATTGCATATTTTACCTTGGCCTGGATCTGATTTCATGGTGGTCTAAGAACCAGACCTTGGTTGCTCACTCTTGCAGTAGCCAAATATCGTGGCGACATGTCATCGCTTTACGAATGTCCGCAAACGGGTAAAAGACCGAACCAGAAATATATTTTTTTATCCAGAACCAAAACTCGAATTTTTTTTATCGAGGGCTATGTGCAAAATTTGCAAATTTATGAGGACCAAAAAGTTATTCAAGCCTTAAAATAATCAATACATAAAGATTTTGTTTTTTGTCTTTTCAATTTCGACCCCTTTCTCGCCATCTAAGTTTGTGGTTTGAGTCTCAGGATCAACTTCGATGTCTTCATTATTTCAGTGAATTTGGACTCTTATTGAGTTTTTCTCTGGAAATCAAACTAACAATACACAGGGCTTTTCATTTTTAATTTTTTACTTAGTGCATGCCTTACTCCAATGGGTTATTCTCAGACCTGTTCTGCATTATTGGCACGGGGTTATTCTTCTGCCAGCAATAAAATTTTAGTTGCTACCATCAGTTGATGTGCTAACATGTACTGTTTATTTCTTCAGAAGGCTAACATAAGGATTTTAAGCATGGAAATCTTGGTGTCAGTTTTATTCGGAAATCTTGGTCTGGTTTTGTATTTGATCTGTTTGTAACATTACATAATGTTATTACTTGTTTTTGGGTAATTTAACTGATAGCTTAGATTTCTTTATTATTTCTTCTTTGGATGTTGTGATCTGTCTTGGTAAGAAAGTTTTTCATGTATTTCTCTTTTATTGTGTAGATTTGGTGTTTTCTGCAAGAGGCTGTTTGAAAATTGTGATGATGTTCTTTGTTTCTTGCTTTATTTTTTACATTGTTCATTGCTTTTAGCAAGCCAAACTTGTTCCTTTCAATAACTGCTTCCTCTTAAAGATTAAAATTTTAGGTGAAGTGCATGAATGATTTGTACCTAATATGCCAATAGGACCAAAGAATTTAAATGGCCAACCAAAATCACGAGGACATGTGACGTGGTACAAAGCAATGATGGACCAAAGGTTTGAAGCATAAATTAGAAAGGGTAGGAAGCTAAAAAAAGCTACAGACGAGGGAAAACAGTCACAGTTGGTTAGCTAGGGTGGGAAAGGGATCTGTGTGTAAGACTCGCTATAGGGAGGTAAGGATTGTGTACGTGAGTTTGGTGGTTTTGCATTTAGTTATTTTCCTTTCGCTGTAAACTGGGGTAGGGGTGGTAGCAAGGATTAAACTTTTGGCCACTTGGTTGTAGAGACTTTGATACATGTCAAGAATCAACAACTATTAGTCAGTGTTTGATTCAAATTTCAATAAATCGTTGTAAAAAGCCATTGTTCGTATGAGTTTATGTGTTTGGTTTTATCTGGTTATCTTTCTGCAGGGAATGACTAGCAGTCATTCTAAATGACTTAGTGATAACATTCTCTATTATGTTTTCTAGAGTATTATTCATAGAATTTCAAATGGTGTACCATTGCCTTTTAGTTCTCCATAAATTTAAGGTTCCTCACTAGAATGAATTAAATCGAATTTGTTATTGCATTTTAATATTTTGCTTGATGATGATAGCGCAGCGTATGTGTGGGATAATAATGATTTCCTAAATTTCCTGATGATGATTTTGTTGGTGTGTAAATTGTTTCAGCTACAAGGCTTGGAGAGCATGGACACTCAGAAAAGCCAACCAGAAAACCACTCCTCTTCCGCAACATCTCCTCCGGTTGTAACTTCATGTCGAAAGAAGAAGAATGAAGAAGCTGCTTTCTTGGAAGATTTGAAGGAACATATTGACGAGTTTTTAAGTGCTTCTGTGGATGAACACAAAAGTTGCTTTAAGAAAACAATTCAAAAGGTTGGTACCTGAATTTATTGATAAAAATCTTTCCAACCTTTCTCATTTGCTGATAAAGAGTGGTTTTTGATCAATTTCAGATGTTTGGTTTGTCAAAGGCTGTTACAGAAGGGCACTCCAATACCTCCAAAGAAGTAGAAAGTTCTCTACCTCTTAGGACAACTGTACAGGACTAGATTTTACCTGAAGCGTGTTGTTATAATACTCTCGTATAAATAGTTGTTTGTGAATACTCCATTCATGGGTTGTTTTTGTGAGCACTGTTTAACCAAAGGAGTATTCACAGTACATTTTTTCTAACACATCCTATTATTGACTACTTGGAAAATGTAATTCATAATTATGAAATTAGGAAAGACGTTTGTTAAATAAAAAGTGAACCAACGAAAAAGTTGGGATTTCTAATAACTTGTAGCTGACTTGGAATATTTTGCACCAAAACTTGCAGACATTTGTTTTGAAGTCAACGTAACTGTCTTGTTTGCCACTGCACCAAATCTTGAAAACAATGTTTCTGTAAGCAGATGACGATGCACTGAGGAACACACATGGAGCATATTTGTTCACTTGAAACCTTGATTTCAAGAATGAATAGAAAGAAAGAAATGAATCAAACAATGTGTGGTGTCTGAAACCCCAATGCTTATGGCAGGGTGTTTCTTTTGCCACCTTATTAATTTCCTGAGTTATCATCAGCCATGTATTAGTTTGGATTGGTATTTTACTTTCTAAAATGAATGCGAAGTGACAAAAAATAATCATGAAGTGATTGAAGTTGAGGCCCTTATGGTATTGTAATTGCATTGGGCTTCATGGACCAAAATTATGTGGAATAAGCCTGACCATTGTTTTCTGCACCCCTATCAGGTGATTAAAATACCATACTGCCTCCTGGGGCCGTCACCCTTTCCCATCACTGCTCCTTGTCTGGTCGATATCATTGTCAATGTGTTGTATTATGAATGAATTTAAAAAAATAGTTTTGTGATATTATTTTTTTAATATTTTCGTGGAGTAGTAAATCCACGATCATTTTTATTTTTCCTTCTGAATTTTTCAAAAATTTAAAAAATAAAATATTTTGAATTGTATAAATCGAAAATCAGTTAAAAATAAACTTTTGATTGTCTAATATGAAATAAACTACTCTGTTTACAATTCCAAAATCAAAAGGTGACTTGGATAATTTCAAATTACACAAGTTGAAAGTTTTTCTTAAAAAAATATTTTAAATTATGTAATTTGGAATTTATTTTTCATGTTTTCAAATTACATATTCTAAGCTATATAAAAAATGACTTATAGAACGTAAAATTAAAAAAAAAAATCAAAATACACAATCTAAAAGTAAAAAAAATTATTTAAATCACACAATTCAAAAAAACATTTTAAGAACAAAATAAAATTTTTCGTATTTATGAGCTGTAGAACAAAATTATGAGTTATAAAAAAATCCCAATAAGCCTGGGCTCAAGAGAGAACATATTATTTGTGGGTAAATTACATTTTGATTCTCTTAACTTAACTAATGTAGCTTCTTACTTCACTTAGAATTATCTAATGTTTTTGTAGTTGCAATTTCACTGACTAAAATATAACAGTTTAGACAACAATTATTTCTTTTACCCAATTGAATTTCCTTTTTTTGAAACTGATGACCACTCGCCATTAAAGGTTCACTACGATTTCATCAAGAACACCAACAGGCCACGTGTCTGAAACATGGTTTGTTCATGAAACTCACCTTCTGGAATTTAAATGGATTTGACCATTTTATTCCTTTCATTCATAACTCTCTTCAAATTTATTTCTAATTTTCAAAATATTTTTCACTATTTCTTACCATTTTTGTAATTGTTTTATATATTATTAGTATTTTAATTATACAATAGATATTCTGAAATATCAATACCTATTTATTTTTTAAATGGGTGCAGAATAATAAATTTTTAAGGGAATACGAAGAAGAAAAAAAATCCCTTCTGGTGTGTTTGTCATGGTCCATTCATTCTGTCCTACTTATTTTGTTCTGTAGCTAATTGTGTTAGTAACACTTTTATTTTAATATTTTATTATTATAGAAATTATGAATTTTTATTTATGAGATTTTTCAATATTGAAATGAGATCCCTAAGAAAATGCAGATTATTACCAAAATTTAAAAGATTTTATTTTCAATTACGATAGATTTTCAGTTTCATTATTTTTTTACTCGTTAAATCCTTAAGCATTATTTATGATTTATATCATGTATCATTTTCAATACTAATAAAAAATAAAAAAATTAATAACATAAAATGTTGAAATTAAATTAAAATATTATAATAATAAAAGAAAATTTATTTAAATAATGTTATAGAAAGTATGATAACATTTTGTAGGCATTTGTTGTATCTACTTGTGGCTAAAGATTAATCTGTGGAGAAAAGAAAAAGTAATTACCTTAAAAGCATAAAATTTTGTAGGCAATGATAATAAATGGTACGGACAGATGTCGCATAGCCGCCACAAGAGACAAAAAGAAGATAGAGTGGAGACTGATAAAGCTTTTTTAAAACAAACAAAAATCAATAAATATTTGTTGCATCAATTTTTGAAAACACAATTAATTATTTTAAGAAAAAAACACACACACACTTCTCTGTTTGTAATATCATTTTAGAAATTTTTTTATCATTTATTATAAGATTCCTAATTCAACAACGTATTTATTATAATTTTTTATTATAAAATTACTGTCAATCTTTATTTATAATATTCTTTGATATAATTGATATATATGTGTTAAATTAGTTTAAATAATGAATTTGCTACTATATTATTGTTCAAAATTATCTTTATTACAACTATTAAGAAAGAAGATTTTCTTGTACAACTATTCTTATAGTATATATTTTGTTATCCTCATTAGTATAACTTATTTTATTATTTAAGAAAACTATCTACAATAAATAATAATTATCATTATGTGTTCTGTATTTATAATATTATAAAAATTTATAAAAAAAAATATTGATCTTCGTTATTATCCTTTTTCTAATAGTAATATTTTATTTTAATCGTTTCATAATATATATTTTTCATTATATTTTTATTATCATCAAAAGTTAATATACAATTTTTGAAAAACATTTTTTAATTTTTTTAAAATAACATCAATTCATTAAATATTAATTAAAGCAATCATCAAATTTTGAAAATTAACAGATCCCTTATTGTTTATCCACAACATTAAATAGGTAAGTTTGTTGGGATAATCTTTTTTTTTTTTCTAATGAAAAGAACATGGATATACATACATTACATGAATTAAAAAGAAATAGATTAATGGTTAATATTATAGTTTTCTATCACACTCAAAGTTTCACATCAATAATAAGAGATAAATATGATAAGAAAACTCAGAAATTTATGAAAATGCTATTTTATCCAAGTTTTGTCCATGAATTCATGTGTAACACACTTAAGTAAATGATAAATAATTTGATGAAAATGAAGTTTTATTAGTGATGGAAAGTAAAACAGAGTCATTGATTCTTCAACGACAACACAACATGGAATCATGGGACACGACACGATCCTTAATTATGAGTAAAAGTCCAATTCTACTACGTCACTAGCATTACTTATTATGTAAAACTATGATTCTAGAAATTTTGCTACAAACTGAAAATCAGAATATTCTTTGTTCTCGGTGCCACCATCTCACTGAAGTTTCAAGTTTCTGAGCCTGCAAGTTAAGACATGAAGAAACCAAGTTCATCATAATCAAATAAAAAGGTACTTTCACTGTTGTAACTTGATAAATCTGTGCTTATGATTAACCACTGCTATACCAACTTGTGCTCTGTGATGAAAAAATCATTCTTCCTAGAATTTTATGGATGTTTTGCATAGTACATGAACATTGGCGTTCATTTAGAAAAACTCATGCAGAGTTTTGTGAAAGTAGCTCATGAATTATCACCTTTCAATGATTATATCAGTATGCTTAGGGGTCAAACATGTGAATAAGTTTGTTGAAGATTCCATATATAGAAATACGATAAATTTACATGGTGCAACCAGTTCTGTAAGTTGAATTAGTTTTAAAGTTCAGTTTAAGAGAAATTTACTTCAGACTTAGTGGATGTGTTTATGATTAAGGTGTTTACTCAAAAGCATTGCAACATAAACTGAAAAAAGAAGTATTGTAAAAGTTAGTGATCATAAACTGATAGAAGACATAGAATGCAGCACTACCTTTTCTCCTCTTGAGACCCTCCACTTTGCTTGTAATTTGGGAAGGGCACTTGTCCTGATTCAATGTGCCTAACATCCCTGAGGAGGAGTTCATAGTGCCTCTTGACTTCCTCTGGGGTCTTCCCTCCACCAACAGCCTTAGCAACATTGTACCAACGGTCAGGAGTGTCCTTGTCATAAACTGCTAGAGCCCTTTCAAAGGCTTTGTTGTCCTTGGCACTCCATGAGCCAGTGGAAGACATTGAGCTTGATGCCATTTGCAGAAGGCAGTGATTAGCAAAGAGTTTAGGTATGAGGGTGTTAAGAAAAAGTAGAAAAGATTGAGTCAACAGAACAAGACACCAAGGAATTGGAAGATGAACTGATACTGAAGAGAGGAAACAATGTGTGCTCCTTTTATAACCCGAGGTGGAGAGTTTAAAGTGGGGTAGAGCCAGTTGGAATGCAAATCTTGCCAAAATGAAGTAGAATTTGAATGATTTGTCTCCTCAGGAACCACAGAATAGAGCAGGACCAAGAAGTTGAGCAGCATCATGGGAGAATCAGTATCTTCAAACAGTAAAAATGAGTGAGTGAATTCATAGAGGTTAACAAAATTACTTGTTCTAATCTCTCTTTGGCTGCTTTTTTCTTCACACAAACACGCAAATCACATCAAGTTACAATTGTACTTTGTTATTCTGTCTCAAGGTGGTGAAAGTCCACACCTTGATAGCAGAAACAGTTGAGTTGAGTTGAGACACATCCTCAAGTTGATGATCTGAATGTGTTTAGCACCTTAGAGATATCACGTGGTTGAGCAAATGGACACGACCAACTAACTTCTTAGTATGAAACAGTGAATTTTCAGTTGTGGTTCTGATACTAAAAACGTATGTGAGAGACCCCTCAACTGGGTCAGCTAATGGCTAGCTTTATTTTATTCTCTTTCTTGCATGGTCTTAAGTGGGTCCAATCTTCAGCAAGTATCAGAGCTTTCACCAATGCATCACACACCACAATATCTTGTTCAGAATAGTACAATTGCAAAGAAAAATCCCCCCCTTTGGTTTTCCATCACCTCAGGTGATCTTAATTGTGAATGTAATTTGTCCTTAACAACATTCCAACACACTAGCTGGCCAGTTTCAACCGTACAATGATTACTGTTTGTTCTAAATCAGAAGGATAGGTTATATAGATTCCCTACTACACTTTTTTCTGCCGTGGAGCCCCCCTTACTACTAGGTTTCAGATCAAGTTCTTTTGGATAACCCTTTTCACAAACACTTGCTAAAGAAAACATTTAGCAGATAAAGTGAATCCAACTTCTTCTATAGGTCAAAATTAACTCATACATTTCAACTTTTCAAACTGACAGATGAAAACAGTTCTGTAAAAATGAATGCATGAGTTGATTTTAACTGACAACAAAGGTAAATTTGTTTTGTTTTTGTGTTTGATGATTGTTAGTTAGAGGGACCGGGAGTGTCTTGTATACTGAGGCCAATGTGTCCTTTCATCCATCAGTAACAGTAACAACATTAGTTTCTGTTTAGCTTAAGCAATATGTCCTATCAGTTTCTGAGAGGCATAACCTTGAAGAGTAGCCATTATCAGTGTGGGAAACACATTGGAATATCAATTTAGATTATGTTTTTAGCACTGTAGTATCCTTTGTGTGTATCCTTAACATCATGACATGGGAAAGAGATTAAATAATTCATAGTGCTAAAAGACTTGTATTAACCTAAACTGAGGTTGTTTTAATGAAAAAAAGAAAAAAAAAACAGTTTCATAGGGGAAGCAATTATTAATTATTCTGTGTCCTGATTAGTTTAAGAGAATAGACCAAATAACTACAATCAAGAGTTTGAGCTTTTGGCAAAAAAGTAAACACGTGGGTTGGGGTTGATCCAAGATAGCTCGACAAATTCCCTAACAATTAAAGTAAAATTTTAGTCATATATGTCTGTTCATGAGCAAGTGAAAGAGACTTTCACTCACTCTTTTTTCCAAAAGCAGTAATGAATGATTAGGCCATAGCTTTTGTTCTTCAAAAGGCTTATTTATTGGCATACTGTGATACAGGAGGCATTAAACTTTTTCAGGTCTTTTGGACCACTTTGTTATTACAAATGACCATTCTTCTGGGTGTTAGTGAGTCAGAGAAAAGAACCAAATGAGAGACTTTAAATCTTGGCATTAGAGATGCAGAGAGCAGAATATGGTGTTTTTCTCATCTTGCATGATTTTTCATATCTTAGTTAAGTTTCAAGCAAATCTCAAGCATTTAATGCTTCAATTTGATTGCTGTTTTTGTTTATTTTTAGAGTTACAAACTAGATTTTGCTAGTTCTTACAAATAGCCTTATGGTAAATTACTTTTACTTCATCTCAGCAACAATATATTTCTGATCTTCAATTTCACGCTTTCAATTTTCATTTTTGACAGTTCAACTACTGATGCTGTCATGTACAAAAAATATTTTTGCTTTTAATGTATCTAAACCAAAATTTGATAGCATTGTCTTTAAAGTTGTGACCAGAAATTCAATTTCAGGTCCTTGTATATGGAAAGATCCTTTGTTAAAAACATCTTGAAAGCTTGGTTATTGATCTGGTTGTCCAGTACCTTATACTAACCAAAAATCTAAACTATGATCTTAGAACATGAAACGTTTATGATCATTATCTATTGTGTGTCATTCATACAATGGGGCAGAGCTGCTAGTATGAACATGTTTCTTATGGTCTTAATTTCTTGTATTTACCAAATATAAATGTGTTGGGATTGCAAGTGTGATTTTAAGTCTCGCATTATTATTGAATAGAAACGAGAAAGTTCAACAACATATAAGAAAAAAGACCTATAAACTTATTTTCTTAAGGTTTTGGGTTGAAGATAAATTTAAATTTCTTTTTTGTATTGAGCTCAGATCTAATTCGTTAGTGTTATGTCTTTCTGTAAATATCTATTAGTGGTATTAGAGTCGATGATTATTCTACAAATACCAATAAAAATGTAGTTATTTTGTTAGGGAATGGCTAAATATCTGAATCCATTTTTTGAATAGAGCTAAAGCATAGCACAGCATATTTCTGTGTCGGTGTAGTGATGGTAGCAACTTGTTTCAGATTTAGATTGGCACCACCCCTTATGGAACTATTGTTTTTGTAATATCTAGCAAGTAGGCTTCAGTATAGTATATTCTTCTAAACCAGTCCAAAGCAATGCTTGAAGATATTTTGGAATTCCCTAGTACTAAATGTTATTCCTTTAATGTAAAAGTTAATTTGGTAGTGAGAGTTAAAATTTTCCATTTTTAATAATGAGTACTTAGTTGTGATAGTACTCCAAACATTGAAGTTGGTGGCATGTTGAATCAGTCTCATTGTTTAAGTGTAGAAACTCTATATGGTAGAAATCACTTGTGATATTTCGAGACCCAATAATGCATGTTTGAATCTAAGCACTATAGTTCAAAGAAATAAGACACTTCTTACACCACTCTGTAGTATTACTCATTCGAAATAATAAGTCCATGTAACTTCAACCACAACTTTTCTGCCCCATGGTACAATTCATAGCCTTTTCCATAAATACTTCAAAGGGAAGGAAAAATATCTTTAAATAAAATCGTCATCTTCAAAGCTCTTCAAAAATCATCATCTTGAAAACTCACCATATATAATAAAAGAATTTGATCTCAAGCTTTAAAATTCACCCTCAAAGGGTTCATCATTGTTTTTATATAGTCCAGATTTTCTATTGAATTTTTTTTATTGTGCACTTCTTAAAACTAAAAATACACTAATGTTGATATATTATAATTATTTATAATATATTTTAAAATATCAAAATCAAAAGCAATCAGTATATTTTGTAGAGAGATAGAAAACAAATTCCAGCAGAGAATTTGAAAAGGATCAAATAGATATGTATTATAAAATTCAAGTTCCTTAGTATCACAAGTGTACTTGGATAAACCTCTTTCAAAATAGAAGAAAAGAAAACAGTTTATAGAAACTCTTTCATATAATTTACTCAAATATATTACAATTTTAGTTTATGAAAACCCCCATTCCAAATACACTTATAGAAATATTGGTCATATTGGTGGAATGCATATAAAAATTGAAAAAAAACATATTAGAAATATCTCTATTGAGAATTCAAGTCTTAGTCCTAATCCGTAAAAATGAAAAAATTGTGTAAAAATGAAAAAATGAACAACAACAGAGGAGATTAATGAGTGTTTTACTTTTATGTAGTATTTTACTTTTTCATTTCTATTTAATGTGAAACTTGGACATATAATTGGATTTCTAACATATATAAAGTTGAAAATTTATTAAACTAAGGTTTTGGATATAAATAATGTTAATTTATTGTGGAGTTGGAATCAAGTCTCGTTGACGTTGAATTTCTTTGGTAAATCTCCTTCCAATAAGTCGAAAAACTCCTCTAACAGTAGAGGCAGAAGGAAGTTGTTTGTGTCAAGAGAACAGAGACTTAGGCACCAAAAATGTTGTTGTTGAATTATAATGGAAGACAGGAGGAAGTGTTGAAGAATGCAGCATGGAAGTTGGAAAGTGAATGCAGATAATGTGTGTAGAGTGTGTTGAATGTTGCATCAGTCATGATCAGTGGATCTTGGCCACAGAATGAAGGGTAATGGGGATAGCAGTGATCATTGGCTGAAGATTATTCTGGATTCAAGGAATCTTTGTGATGAATAATAGATGGTGGATGATGTGCCTCATCATCACCAAAATCTACACTGCAATCTTTNTATAGTATATATTTTGTTATCCTCATTAGTATAACTTATTTTATTATTTAAGAAAACTATCTACAATAAATAATAATTATCATTATGTGTTCTGTATTTATAATATTATAAAAATTTATAAAAAAAAATATTGATCTTCGTTATTATCCTTTTTCTAATAGTAATATTTTATTTTAATCGTTTCATAATATATATTTTTCATTATATTTTTATTATCATCAAAAGTTAATATACAATTTTTGAAAAACATTTTTTAATTTTTTTAAAATAACATCAATTCATTAAATATTAATTAAAGCAATCATCAAATTTTGAAAATTAACAGATCCCTTATTGTTTATCCACAACATTAAATAGGTAAGTTTGTTGGGATAATCTTTTTTTTTTTTCTAATGAAAAGAACATGGATATACATACATTACATGAATTAAAAAGAAATAGATTAATGGTTAATATTATAGTTTTCTATCACACTCAAAGTTTCACATCAATAATAAGAGATAAATATGATAAGAAAACTCAGAAATTTATGAAAATGCTATTTTATCCAAGTTTTGTCCATGAATTCATGTGTAACACACTTAAGTAAATGATAAATAATTTGATGAAAATGAAGTTTTATTAGTGATGGAAAGTAAAACAGAGTCATTGATTCTTCAACGACAACACAACATGGAATCATGGGACACGACACGATCCTTAATTATGAGTAAAAGTCCAATTCTACTACGTCACTAGCATTACTTATTATGTAAAACTATGATTCTAGAAATTTTGCTACAAACTGAAAATCAGAATATTCTTTGTTCTCGGTGCCACCATCTCACTGAAGTTTCAAGTTTCTGAGCCTGCAAGTTAAGACATGAAGAAACCAAGTTCATCATAATCAAATAAAAAGGTACTTTCACTGTTGTAACTTGATAAATCTGTGCTTATGATTAACCACTGCTATACCAACTTGTGCTCTGTGATGAAAAAATCATTCTTCCTAGAATTTTATGGATGTTTTGCATAGTACATGAACATTGGCGTTCATTTAGAAAAACTCATGCAGAGTTTTGTGAAAGTAGCTCATGAATTATCACCTTTCAATGATTATATCAGTATGCTTAGGGGTCAAACATGTGAATAAGTTTGTTGAAGATTCCATATATAGAAATACGATAAATTTACATGGTGCAACCAGTTCTGTAAGTTGAATTAGTTTTAAAGTTCAGTTTAAGAGAAATTTACTTCAGACTTAGTGGATGTGTTTATGATTAAGGTGTTTACTCAAAAGCATTGCAACATAAACTGAAAAAAGAAGTATTGTAAAAGTTAGTGATCATAAACTGATAGAAGACATAGAATGCAGCACTACCTTTTCTCCTCTTGAGACCCTCCACTTTGCTTGTAATTTGGGAAGGGCACTTGTCCTGATTCAATGTGCCTAACATCCCTGAGGAGGAGTTCATAGTGCCTCTTGACTTCCTCTGGGGTCTTCCCTCCACCAACAGCCTTAGCAACATTGTACCAACGGTCAGGAGTGTCCTTGTCATAAACTGCTAGAGCCCTTTCAAAGGCTTTGTTGTCCTTGGCACTCCATGAGCCAGTGGAAGACATTGAGCTTGATGCCATTTGCAGAAGGCAGTGATTAGCAAAGAGTTTAGGTATGAGGGTGTTAAGAAAAAGTAGAAAAGATTGAGTCAACAGAACAAGACACCAAGGAATTGGAAGATGAACTGATACTGAAGAGAGGAAACAATGTGTGCTCCTTTTATAACCCGAGGTGGAGAGTTTAAAGTGGGGTAGAGCCAGTTGGAATGCAAATCTTGCCAAAATGAAGTAGAATTTGAATGATTTGTCTCCTCAGGAACCACAGAATAGAGCAGGACCAAGAAGTTGAGCAGCATCATGGGAGAATCAGTATCTTCAAACAGTAAAAATGAGTGAGTGAATTCATAGAGGTTAACAAAATTACTTGTTCTAATCTCTCTTTGGCTGCTTTTTTCTTCACACAAACACGCAAATCACATCAAGTTACAATTGTACTTTGTTATTCTGTCTCAAGGTGGTGAAAGTCCACACCTTGATAGCAGAAACAGTTGAGTTGAGTTGAGACACATCCTCAAGTTGATGATCTGAATGTGTTTAGCACCTTAGAGATATCACGTGGTTGAGCAAATGGACACGACCAACTAACTTCTTAGTATGAAACAGTGAATTTTCAGTTGTGGTTCTGATACTAAAAACGTATGTGAGAGACCCCTCAACTGGGTCAGCTAATGGCTAGCTTTATTTTATTCTCTTTCTTGCATGGTCTTAAGTGGGTCCAATCTTCAGCAAGTATCAGAGCTTTCACCAATGCATCACACACCACAATATCTTGTTCAGAATAGTACAATTGCAAAGAAAAATCCCCCCCTTTGGTTTTCCATCACCTCAGGTGATCTTAATTGTGAATGTAATTTGTCCTTAACAACATTCCAACACACTAGCTGGCCAGTTTCAACCGTACAATGATTACTGTTTGTTCTAAATCAGAAGGATAGGTTATATAGATTCCCTACTACACTTTTTTCTGCCGTGGAGCCCCCCTTACTACTAGGTTTCAGATCAAGTTCTTTTGGATAACCCTTTTCACAAACACTTGCTAAAGAAAACATTTAGCAGATAAAGTGAATCCAACTTCTTCTATAGGTCAAAATTAACTCATACATTTCAACTTTTCAAACTGACAGATGAAAACAGTTCTGTAAAAATGAATGCATGAGTTGATTTTAACTGACAACAAAGGTAAATTTGTTTTGTTTTTGTGTTTGATGATTGTTAGTTAGAGGGACCGGGAGTGTCTTGTATACTGAGGCCAATGTGTCCTTTCATCCATCAGTAACAGTAACAACATTAGTTTCTGTTTAGCTTAAGCAATATGTCCTATCAGTTTCTGAGAGGCATAACCTTGAAGAGTAGCCATTATCAGTGTGGGAAACACATTGGAATATCAATTTAGATTATGTTTTTAGCACTGTAGTATCCTTTGTGTGTATCCTTAACATCATGACATGGGAAAGAGATTAAATAATTCATAGTGCTAAAAGACTTGTATTAACCTAAACTGAGGTTGTTTTAATGAAAAAAAGAAAAAAAAAACAGTTTCATAGGGGAAGCAATTATTAATTATTCTGTGTCCTGATTAGTTTAAGAGAATAGACCAAATAACTACAATCAAGAGTTTGAGCTTTTGGCAAAAAAGTAAACACGTGGGTTGGGGTTGATCCAAGATAGCTCGACAAATTCCCTAACAATTAAAGTAAAATTTTAGTCATATATGTCTGTTCATGAGCAAGTGAAAGAGACTTTCACTCACTCTTTTTTCCAAAAGCAGTAATGAATGATTAGGCCATAGCTTTTGTTCTTCAAAAGGCTTATTTATTGGCATACTGTGATACAGGAGGCATTAAACTTTTTCAGGTCTTTTGGACCACTTTGTTATTACAAATGACCATTCTTCTGGGTGTTAGTGAGTCAGAGAAAAGAACCAAATGAGAGACTTTAAATCTTGGCATTAGAGATGCAGAGAGCAGAATATGGTGTTTTTCTCATCTTGCATGATTTTTCATATCTTAGTTAAGTTTCAAGCAAATCTCAAGCATTTAATGCTTCAATTTGATTGCTGTTTTTGTTTATTTTTAGAGTTACAAACTAGATTTTGCTAGTTCTTACAAATAGCCTTATGGAAAATTACTTTTACTTCATCTCAGCAACAATATATTTCTGATCTTCAATTTCACGCTTTCAATTTTCATTTTTGACAGTTCAACTACTGATGCTGTCATGTACAAAAAATATTTTTGCTTTTAATGTATCTAAACCAAAATTTGATAGCATTGTCTTTAAAGTTGTGACCAGAAATTCAATTTCAGGTCCTTGTATATGGAAAGATCCTTTGTTAAAAACATCTTGAAAGCTTGGTTATTGATCTGGTTGTCCAGTACCTTATACTAACCAAAAATCTAAACTATGATCTTAGAACATGAAACGTTTATGATCATTATCTATTGTGTGTCATTCATACAATGGGGCAGAGCTGCTAGTATGAACATGTTTCTTATGGTCTTAATTTCTTGTATTTACCAAATATAAATGTGTTGGGATTGCAAGTGTGATTTTAAGTCTCGCATTATTATTGAATAGAAACGAGAAAGTTCAACAACATATAAGAAAAAAGACCTATAAACTTATTGTCTTAAGGTTTTGGGTTGAAGATAAAGTTAAATTTCTTTTTTGTATTGAGCTCAGATCTAATTCGTTAGTGTTATGTCTTTCTGTAAATATCTATTAGTGGTATTAGAGTCGATGATTATTCTACAAATACCAATAAAAATGTAGTTATTTTGTTAGGGAATGGCTAAATATCTGAATCCATTTTTTGAATAGAGCTAAAGCATAGCACAGCATATTTCTGTGTCGGTGTAGTGATGGTAGCAACTTGTTTCAGATTTAGATTGGCACCACCCCTTATGGAACTATTGTTTTTGTAATATCTAGCAAGTAGGCTTCAGTATAGTATATTCTTCTAAACCAGTCCAAAGCAATGCTTGAAGATATTTTGGAATTCCCAAGTACTAAATGTTATTCCTTTAATGTAAAAGTTAATTTGGTAGTGAGAGTTAAAATTTTCCATTTTTAATAATGAGTACTTAGTTGTGATAGTACTCCAAACATTGAAGTTGGTGGCATGTTGAATCAGTCTCATTGTTTAAGTGTAGAAACTCTATATGGTAGAAATCACTTGTGATATTTCGAGACCCAATAATGCATGTTTGAATCTAAGCACTATAGTTCAAAGAAATAAGACACTTCTTACACCACTCTGTAGTATTACTCATTCGAAATAATAAGTCCATGTAACTTCAACCACAACTTTTCTGCCCCATGGTACAATTCATAGCCTTTTCCATAAATACTTCAAAGGGAAGGAAAAATATCTATAAATAAAATCGTCATCTTCAAAGCTCTTCAAAAATCATCATCTTGAAAACTCACCATATATAATAAAAGAATTTGATCTCAAGCTTTAAAATTCACCCTCAAAGGGTTCATCATAGTTTTTATATAGTCCAGATTTTCTATTGAATTTTTTTTATTGTGCACTTCTTAAAACTAAAAATACACTAATGTTGATATATTATAATTATTTATAATATATTTTAAAATATCAAAATCAAAAGCAATCAGTATATTTTGTAGAGAGATAGAAAACAAATTCCAGCAGAGAATTTGAAAAGGATCAAATAGATATGTATTATAAAATTCAAGTTCCTTAGTATCACAAGTGTACTTGGATAAACCTCTTTCAAAATAGAAGAAAAGAAAACAGTTTATAGAAACTCTTTCATATAATTTACTCAAATATATTACAATTTTAGTTTATGAAAACCCCCATTCCAAATACACTTATAGAAATATTGGTCATATTGGTGGAATGCATATAAAAATTGAAAAAAAACATATTAGAAATATCTCTATTGAGAATTCAAGTCTTAGTCCTAATCCGTAAAAATGAAAAAATTGTGTAAAAATGAAAAAATGAACAACAACAGAGGAGATTAATGAGTGTTTTACTTTTATGTAGTATTTTACTTTTTCATTTCTATTTAATGTGAAACTTGGACATATAATTGGATTTCTAACATATATAAAGTTGAAAATTCATTAAACTATTATCTTAAGGTTTTGGATATAAATAATGTTAATTTCTTGTGCAGTTGGAATCAAGTGTCGTTGACGTTGAATTTCTTTGGTAAATCTCCTTCCAATAAGTCGAAAAACTCCTCTAACAGTAGAGGCAGAAGGAAGTTGTTTGTGTCAAGAGAACAGAGACTTAGGCACCAAAAATGTTGTTGTTGAATTATAATGGAAGACAGGAGGAAGTGTTGAAGAATGCAGCATGGAAGTTGGAAAGTGAATGCAGATAATGTGTGTAGAGTGTGTTGAATGTTGCATCAGTCATGATCAGTGGATCTTGGCCACAGAATGAAGGGTAATGGGGATAGCAGTGATCATTGGCTGAAGATTATTCTGGATTCAAGGAATCTTTGTGATGAATAATAGATGGTGGATGATGTGCCTCATCATCACCAAAATCTACACTGCAATCTTTATTTCTCCTTCGGTATATCTCATAGTACAATGTTTATGTGCAAGATTCTTTTCACAGTGGTCCTTTCTTACCAATTGAGAACTTTGATTCATAAACTTTTCTTCATTGCTCTTCTTTATCAGATAGTTTAGCTCATCAACATTTACATAATGAAATATCCTTTCTTATTCCAACTTGAAGTGCTTTGTTATGGATACTGAGTTTAATTCGATAGCTTTTACGGATAATTATTCTCACCTACAAAAAGATTTTTTCCAAATTTGTTAATTTTGATACATGAAGTGGATTTTAAACCTAATTTAGTTTCACAAAATCGGTTTACAAGGTGCAGTTTATATCCACTTATTGTTGTAATATTGCAAAAGTTAGGTTTTGGAACGTTTTACAACAGTGAATCTACACGTCTCAGGCGTGATTATGTCAACTTTTATACAACACTTATATACTCTAAATTGATTTTATTTTTAGTTGATACTTCCAAGACTTACTACTTTGATTCT